CGCAGAAGAAAAAGTTTGGGAACCACTGCCCTAATGTATTAATTAATTTTATTTTGTAACCAGGCTGCTGTGTATTGCAGACTTCTGTCCCTCTTGAAAATGAGATCTACAGTAAATCTCAACAGGGTTTACCTGGTTAAATAAAGGAAATAAAAAAAAGGTAAACTCAGTTTGTGCTTGCTACCATATCAGAATCAACAGAACCGTCTCATTGACACACCACTTCACGCCACAGACAATCACATAAACCCCTCGCTCACGTGCAACACTGATATTTAAACCAGTGAGCAGCTGCAGTCCACAACACAAAACAAACCTACTGTTTTAATTGTTCCAATCCCTGTCTCGACTCCAGGTAGATGGAATTTTACATCAGTGTGACTCGAAAATATCCTCAGCACGTTTTTTTTCCCTCTAACTGTCATCATATGTCTTTTGAACAAACAGAAGGGAGGGAGAATCTGTGTGTGTGTTGTGTGTGTGTATGTCCTGGACATCTGACCTACTCAAGTAAAACACTCGGACTCGGAATAAAAATGACAAAGAAAGAAATGCTGGATGCTAGCTATGAACTTTAGCAGCAATGACTTGAAACAGTGTGCTCAGGAGTGTCTGCAGAACATTATTTAATCAGTCAGCAGGTGGGACTGGAATGACCCACAGTGTAGAAGAGTTCCTGCTATCAAATAAAACCTACCAAAACACTGAAAGACCAATGCCTCACCACCAGGCGGTGTTGGCGTTGACAATAGCAACAGTGAAATTCAGATGAAGAAAATCCAAAACATAGCTAAAGAGATGCAGAGCCAAAGGATCCTTCAGAACTACACCAGCTCATGTTTTTTATTCAATTAATTCATATTTTTTTCAAAGTCATAACTTTTGGTGGAAAAATGGTTATGGTGGCTCAACTTAAAATTCCAAAACTGCATCAAAAATAAGCCACAAAACTTATGGATTAGAAAAAAGCAGAGAACGTCTCATGCAGAGAATTCTCGAGAATTTTTTTTAAGAAAATGAGAATTTATTGCAATCCAGAAGTTCTGGTTTATTATGATGCAAGTTTAAATTGAGCCATAGCTATTTTAAGAATGGAGGTGTTGCAATGGCTCAGCCAAAGTCCAGATTTCAGTCTCCCTGCCAACTTTAATGAAATAAAATAAAATAAAATAAAATACTGCTATGAATCAAAGTGAGGCAAAATCGAAGCATATAAGCATAAATATTGGAAATAACATGAATGTCTCTGAAACCTGGTCGATAGAATTTTTTTTCCTGGAACCAGTATTAAAACTGTGTTAACATAAATAGGATCTTTCTCCATTTTTAGTTGAACAAAAAGCAAAAAAAAAAAAAAAAAACACTTGTAACTTCCAAAGGCTCCTGGATGTCAGTCAGAAAATAGAAACAGATGCTGCTTTCTTTTTCACACACCTTCAGGTCACAATAAAGCTTCCCAGATTTAAGAGACTTTACCTGATCAAAGATGCCCTGATGTTGGTTTGAGCTTACCTTTTTTGTAGAACAGAAGGTGAATATTGTTTTTCTAATTATGGAATTTAACTGGTGCATGTGAACAGCTTTCAGTGTTTTATTCTGAGCCAGGCTTCCAGGTGCATACGTTTAATTCACCTGCTGCATGTCTCCATATCAAACCAATCTCATTACAAGCAGAAACGTCTATGTATTTTATTGACATATTTTCTACTAGCCCAACATAGACTAGTGCATTATTCTAACATGGAAGGAAATGATACATGGTGTTCTGTAATGAATAAAAATTAAAATAATGTGGTGTGTATTTGTATTTAGTCCCTATTAATTTAATACCACTAAATAAAATCCAGCATAACCAATAACTTGTACGGTCACATAATATAATTTTATAGCAAAATCAAGTAACTATTACCTTTAATTGTTATGCTATATAAATCAAATCTGACTTAAAAGAAGGTTGACATAATTTAGTACCTTGAAATTGGACCTATGTTTGTTTAAAAACTCCTGCTGTTTCTGAAACGCCGCCTTCAGGAAGTCATCACAACATGACTCCTCTGGTAACACTTTAACAACGTTTTTACCTCCCTATTTTAATCATGGGAGAAGAAGTGGAGGTGGTTGAGTAATATAAATACCTCTGTGTTCATCTGGACAACAGACTGGACTGGAGACGCAACAGTGAAGCGTCCATAAGAAGGGACAGAACAGACTGGACTTCTTGAGGAACCTAAGATCCTTCAAGTTTTGCTGCAAGATGCTGCAGATCTTCTATTAGTCTGTTGTTGAGAGCATCATCTCTGCTGCTGTCATCCGCTGGGACAGCAGCATCAGAACCAGGGACATAAAAAGGTTCAACAGCCTGATGAAGACTGGATCTGTTCTGTGGAGCCTCTGGAGATGATTATGCAAAGAAGGATTCTTCAGAGGATAGAGACAATTATGGACAACCCTGACCATCCTCTTCACGAGACTGTCTTGGGACATCTTCAGTCAGAGGCTTCTTCAGATTTAGTGCAGTACAGACTGCTGCAGGAGATCTTTCCTGCCAACAGCCATCACCATCTTCAATAACTCTTTGAAGAATCAAATTTAATGAGTTACAACAACATTTAATTTCCCTTTGGGATTAATAATGTATTTTTGAATTTCAGTTGAATTGAATTGCTCTGAGTAGTAGTTGATAATGAGCTCAGCAGACACACAGTTTCACCAGGTGTTTCCTAATTGCTGCTGGCTAGTCTGAAGGAGCTGAGTGGTGGAGGAGGTCTGCTCTGTGGTTGGAAGTGAACCAACCAGGTGTTTTGCATAGCTGAATGGATTCAAGGATTTCCCAAACATGCATGAAAGAATCAAAACAACACTCTAGATATGTTTTTGATGAGGGAATAACATTATAATATGATGTCAGCTGAGACACGGAAGCTGGTCAGTGTAAACAAAGAGGGCTTTCTGTACTGATGTGGGTATATTTCCATGAAAAGTTCAATTTAACCAGGCACTTTGAAGAAGTTCTTCACCAGTATAAAGGGGAACTTTGTGAAAGACTTGGTCTGATTGAGCGCTTAGTTCCTTCTGTCTATGAAAACAACAGACACAGTAAGCTGCAAATAACACTAAGGTAGCAAAAAACTACCTTAGACTTAACTAAACTTTGACGTCCTAGCCTTTGTCTTGATAGTGGTAGCATCATGGCTTCTTCATATGTTAGTACTGTGTGCTAGCATTTAGCTTCTTGAGTATATATTTACATTATTGCATAAACAGTTTAGCATTGGGTTTGTCATTTTTGTCTTGGGAAACATGTGACCCAAATACATTCATTCATGATTCTGTGAAGTTAGATGATCATATCTCTATTGCCAATCAACAAAAATGGCCAAACATGGCGGAGTGGAAGGCAGTGGAGAGAAAAAGTCTGACCTCGAATTGGGGGCGGGGTGTGAAGTGCCTTATTTGCATTTAAAGAGACGGCACCAAAACTAGCTGTACCTCAGAACAGGGAGACATGTGGAGCAACAACAACAAAGAATTCAGACCAAAACATTACAGTTCCACTTTATGTAGACCACAACTGAATGGTTTAAATGGAAAAAGGGAGGATTCAAAAACATGACATGTCCACTTTAAACAGAACTAACACCAAGGAACATGTATCTGTGAGCTTGTAATTGAACTGAAGTCAAATTCTACAAATGTAGCAGCAGCTCCTGGCCTTTCTCAAACATTATTCCAAGCCTGAAGTTGATCTCACCATGTGAGTTTATAAAATGCGAACCACTCGACTTCCTGCTGAGTAAAATTTCCTCATTTAAAGGTTTAGGGTGGCTCTGTTGAACCCACCAGGTTCAATGAGATTCAGCTACAACGCTCATATTTTCCACAGATGTTTGATGTGTTTTGAAGGGAACAAAATTATAATGCTATCTTTGAGTGCTTGAACAGCAAAAAAAGTGCAAAGGAAAAAAAAAATCTCGTCCTGCTACTCATTCATCTGAGCTGTCAGGGTGAGTGTTAACACGGCAGCGGCTGACCCAAAGAAAACAAGCTGTTCAGAACAAACGTTGTTTTCTTTAATGCTTTCATTTCCACATAAAACTGAATCTGAATCTTTTTTTCCCACCCAGTGGTCAACACGATCACGTCTTTGAAGCTTTCTTCTGGAGTATTTACAGCACATGACTAAGAAAAGAACCTCTTGTGTTCCTGAGGATTTGCAAAAGTTCTTTTCCTTTGTTTTTTTTCTATGCAAACCTCATTTCTTTTGTGTGTTTTTGTTCCCTTTTTTTTGCTTCACCTTAAGACTTTCATACTTCTTTGTTTTTCTCGCCAGGGATTTGCAGGCGACCTGATGGTGAGGAACATCCAGCTAAGGCACTCTGGAAAGTACGTGTGTATGGTACACACTGACGTGGACACGTTGTCGGCAGCGGCAGATCTAATTGTTAGAGGTACGTCTGCTTCTACTTTGTGACAGTGCTTATCGTTATAAAGCATTATCTCTCGTGGTTTGTCATGGCTTTGCTGTTCTGAGAAGTATCCATGCGTGTATGTAGTTTACAACTGGGATACAGGTGTCTTAAAAGCTCTCAGATCAAATTATAAGGTTATAGTTTTACACTTTTTTGTTGATGATAATGGGATTTTTGTGAACAAAAAAAAAAAATCGGAGTGTGCTGAGTGGTGTACTTTGCGTCTCTCTATTCCTGCAACATACAGATTTTTAAATGAGAAACCATAGACAGGTTCTTCAGTTCAGTTACTCCCATTTTGTCATTCAGCTGCCTATAACGGCCAAATGAGGGGAATTCCCCAGAAATGTTTCTCTCATTAAAAAACAAACAAACAAACAAAAAAAAACTTAAGTTTGGCTGCAGTGTCACAAATAACAGACATCAAGGAATGGTTATGAATGCATCCTTACTGCTTTTTGGTCACTTTAATCAAATTCCCGTCCATTTGCCTAGAAAGTCCGGTTCAGTTGGAGAGGTGTGAATATGTAATCAAACTCTGGCTTACCTAAAAACTTCAGCCTTGGTCCAGTTAAAGTAAACTCTGGTGTGGTTCAAATGCATATGTGAACGGCAAGCAGACCAGAGATGGCTCCGAAACTGGGAAGTGGAGTGAATTCTGGGTAAATACAATCAAAACAATTGTGCATGCTAGCACTAGCAGGAGGAATGACTGCTGGCGTTTTACCAAAGACAAAATAGAAATCCTACAACTACAAAAATCTGACGCCACTCCATTTTTGTTTACATTTTGTGAAGAAGAAAGTTGTGGTCAGTGTCTTCTTTAGAGGTTTTTGTGGTGTTCCCTTCAGTGGTTATTGTTGCACTGCCCCCACAGTTGAGGAAAGAAACAGTTTTTCAACTGCATTGGTTTGACACAGTGCAGTGTGAAAGTGAATCAGAGCATCTGAAAATGTTGCAAACATTGAAATTTTGGTCCCCAATTGAACCGGGATCTAATCGTGTGAAAACTCTTAGATCTCATCACACCAGTTCAAGATTAATACTGATCTTAAATTTCATACATCTGAGCTCTGATTACTAACTTCTGAAGGCAACTATTTTTATTTAGGGGTTGCAGAGGAAAGGTTCTGAAGGCTACACCTTCCTGATTTGCATAAATAAAATAGTGTGTAATGACAAATGCATCATGTTCCCTCCACTTTACGATGATTCTCTCTGTTCCTTTGATCTCCTGCATAAGATACAAACCACAAAAGTTTAAGGAGTGTGCATATTTTTGCAAGGCACTGTATGCTGTCAGGAGGCTCCAGCTGAACATGTGCTCATATTCTGTTGGAAAATAAAAAATAATTCAGTGCAATTTTTAGGTTTATAGGTCTAAATGGAAAAACACATATCCGTGGTTCAAATCCCAGTATGTTTGATCTCATATTGAAGTCATTAAATGAAAACATATTTTCATTCCAAATAGTCTACAATAATGTGGTCTTTGAAAATGATCCGTACCTTCACAAGTCTGAAGGTACTCGGGGATTCATAAGTAGAATTGGTTTCATTTTCATTTTCTTTCTGTGAAGTTAATTATAACACATTTTCAAACCAAATAATTTTTTTAATTGCTTTAATATTTGCTTTTAACAAACTTCAATAATAGCTAGGGGGAAAGATGATAAAACAGACTAATATGGTGAATTAAAAATATCAGAAGTACAAACTAACTATGAGACAAATAACTCCATTTTAACTTCATGTAGCCATTATACATATTCATGTAATCTCTGTTATCTCTGCCTTGCTTTTGAATTATTTTGTATGAATAAATTTGTTCTTGTAAAAAATAATCACTCCCTTAGATGTTTTACCCTTTTTGTTGTATATACATATCATCATAATCAACACAATTTTGCTTTGATGACTTTTTTTTTTGACAAAAAAAAATATCATTGTGAAAACTGATTCATGAGCCAAGAAGCAAATTGCTTTTCAGTTAGATTCACATGTGACTAACTAGAAGTGGATTACTGTCAAACTTTGAAAAACTGTTCCCCTCCTCACCTGTGGTGGCGCTGCACCAAGAACCACTTGCCTTTCCAAACAAACTGAAATTTCTAGGCAAACAAACTGGAGTTGGATTAAAGTGGGCTTAGCAGGGCTGATATAAATGCACTCTTTGAATCTAAAGTGAGAAAGGGTGAGAGCGTGAGCAGCACGTACATAGGCATGATTTACAGCTCTAAGGCCCTCTTCCTGGTTCTGATTGGTTGTTTCTAGTTTGCACTGGGAGAAGGCAGAGAAGCTCCATTTTTTCATACTTTATCTGCCTTGTTCCATACTACTTTTCAAGAAATATGGGGAAAAAAAAAAAAAAAAAAAAATAAAAAAATAAATTAATAAATATCTAAAATATAAA